AGGTGGGATTACAGTCGACCTTTCTTTTCATAGTGCATGGTGGATTCCCGTATAGCCTCGTTTAATTTTCTGATGATCTCACGGCGGGACAGACAAAAGCTCAGCACGGATTCATCGAAGTAGCAGGAAGATGTGCAAAAACCAAGTCCCAATTCCGTTGTAATCTTCCTACTGTTTCCTATGTGGCCAATTCCCTGATCCATTCCAAGACTTTCCAAGCGAAATGAAAAGTATAAAAAAATGTATTTGCTTGGATTATTCAAAGCATAGTCTCCCTTCATATAATATTTACGGATTTGCTTATCAAACAAACTTACCAAATAGCGTGAGCTCTCCTTCCCATGGATTTTTAAAATAACATTGACAATGAATAAGGATGTGATTCAAATCTACCCCACCCCTTTACAGCCCACAGTACTCCATAGTAGCTCAAATAGCAGAGTCATTGTAAAGTTTATCTGGCCTCGGTTCCGCAAATTTTTCGTTTTCATGGCATTTGAACGAATGCATCCGTACTCGCGTACTCAGCCCTTGCAGTCATGTTTTATTCCAACAGCAGACTCTGGACCGGGTAGCTTAGCGCATGCCTCACCCGCATGGGACTCGGCATCCTCAATCGAGAGTCACCCTCAGCTCAGGGTGACAACAGGTCCAGTTGACAAGGGCATTTGATCAACAGTATCAACTGGACGGTATGTCACCGTGTCGTCGAGACTGGCTCTCTTGCATGGTGGTGCCGAATGCGACGCCAGTGAAGCATGTGTACATGAACGCCAGCCAACAGTCCGGAGATGGAGGAGCACATGACTGCAAGGACAGAACATGAAAGTACGAGGTACATTCTTGTGGCCCTGTAAGCACGATCAAGTGGCCAAACTGAGACCAAATAATCTCTATTCAGTAAGAGGCCAAGGTCACATGAGCTTGTCGTTAAAGCTACAAGTAGTAGCAGTAGCAGCAGTAGTTTCGATTTCATCAAAGGCCAATACTAGTAGATACACGTGAAAACGACACAGGCTAAGGCTATGGACACACTAAAGGAAGATAAGAAGACCCTCAGCCGGTCACATCTATCGTTTTTATCTACTAGTCCCAGATAAGGGTCAGCTCGGTCAGCCCCCACTACAAATTGGAGGAGGTGCCGAGGCTTCTTGGTAATCCCAAACGTAGTGTCCGATATCATTTTGAAGGCCAACCAAGGCCAGCAGATTCATGATGGCACTTTGGCGAGTCCGCCGGTTCCCAGCCCCGACTGTCTGGCCATGTGTTCCCTCCGCTCCCCTCCCCTCCTACTGAGTGGCGAGTAGCCAAGACGACGTTTGCACGCAAATCGGCGAATGTTGCTAGATTGGACGGAAATGTACAGACGAACCTTTAAGGCGGAGGTGTGGGGGCAGATTGTAACCTGCCTTAGGGTAGGTGTTGGAGAAAGCATGTGTAGCCTACTGCTTTCTTTGCTCCTCACGAGCTCGTCTTTATGGGCCAATAGAGGAGAAATGGGTTTATTTTCGATCGAGTTGCTTTTCTAATTTTTTACGAGACTGAACATACTTTATAACGAAAGTGTCTGGAGGGCTGTTTTGAAGAACACTCTGGTTCATCGTAAAAGTCGAATTTGGCGGAAATTTCCGGATTTGCTTGAAGAGTGAGATAGCACAACCAGTCTCTAGTCTACGAGGGACTAGGGTCAAGGAATTGGGATATCGTCCTCACTATGCTGACATTTTTAAGGTGTTCCTCTCGAGTGAGCCCCCTTGTCTTTAGTTAGCGAAAAATCAAAAAGGACAGAATATTCCGAGTTGTGTGAACTACTCTCGCTCATCAGAAAATCCAGAAAAAACGCACATAATAAGATAAAATTTTAGGAAGCCTTGCTTATTAAAAACAGCATTAGTTCTGTTTGGTGCTAGAGGCAAGAAAAAATTATCACAAATTCCGCTTTCCGGAAAATTCGAGGAAAGTCGCTTCGATTAGCCAGAGGAGGATCTTAAATTTCAGGTTATGGAGGCAGGGAAAGATTCACAGTTTTTCATCTCGTCGCAGCGATACCAGAGCTGTATCACAATGCTGCCGGCCGCTTGCCTACGCCAGGTGCAATACGAAAAAACCTTGAAGGAGAAACTGCTCTTTTCAAAGAATCTGATATTCCCTGAGATGACATTTGGATTCATGAAGAAGATTCCCGAATTGGGCATCCAAAATATTCTGCAAAATAGGTTTTTGATAATATCAGTAAGTCTTGAATAGGATGGATATGGGAGGGGCCTGATCTTGCTTGAAATTCCTATTTGCCCTTTGCATCAGAGGCATTCAAGGCAGTGTGGTGTAGTAATAACATTTCGAAAGTATACTCTGCTCTACCCAAGTTCGATTCCTCCTCGGAGTGTTGATTAAACCAATGCCAAGTCGAAACCTCACTCCATTGCAGCTAGGATGAGAATACTTTATGGGAGGCAAGACGAAGAAGAGTTTAACTTTCAGTCCCTAATCGTCTTATGCGACTACAAGTCTTATAAATTACTATATCGGAACAAGGCTAGGAGAGATCAAGAGGCCTTAAAAACAGATAGGAAGACCAAGATGTTGCGGCCTCTATTTTGGTCGCAGTCTCCTTTCGAGGTGTAGAAGTGGTATAATCTCGTATTCGAAAATTTGTCGTGTTGTCTGGGCGACCTAGTTTGATGCACCTCGGGATTCACTTCATC